AATTCAGAAAAAAAATCATGATTTGACTCATATAATCAGTTCTTATTTATAGAAATGTGCTTATAAATGTTCTTTACAGCTAATGCACTGAGCAAACACGAGAACTCTAAACGACGGGCAGAACAGACACATTCATCACAATAACTTGAAACTTGAAAGAGAATAAAATATATTTAATATGATTTCATACACTTGATTGTGATTTTCACAATGTTCTTATTGTTTGTATTTTATTTCAGGATTTACTTTGCGTATAGTTTTGTTTGCCTGGGTTCTAGAGGTTAAGTATTCACACGCTGATTTCCAAACAATCACAACTTAAAATGAGCGGTCCTGCAAACATTTATTATGCTTACTTTCATTTGTAATAAGATTTAAATATAATATAAAAACCCATGAAATTTATAGTGTTGGGTGGTAATTTAAACCCCTGGTGGCTCAGCTGTAAGTTAGAGGACTTTTACCGTGAGAATTTTGAGATTAAACCCTCAGTGGGCTCAGAACTAACGCTTCCAAGTGTAGCTTTTTTGCTCAAGAAACAAACAAACCAGAATATAAAATATCATTATGAGTTTTATTATTGTGTTAATTATCAAAAATAAACAACACTGATTGATCTATCAATTTCGTTTCGTTTCGTTTTTTAAAGTCATTATTATGTTCTCGAGTATGTTTTGTTATTTCTATATTGTAATTTGAATTTTTTACTTAATTCATCAAATACATTTTCATCTGCCTAGACATAACTGCGTGACTGTTGCACGTTCAATAATGGTTGGTCTTCGAAGTTCATAAATGTATGATAAAATAATTTAGTAAAAAGAAAACGAAAAAATTATGCATTTTCTAATTTTGTTTTGACCCCCAGTGGTATGTCTGCGGACTTACAACGCTAGAAACTGGGTTTCGATACCCGTGGTGGGCAGAGCACAGATAGCTCATTGTGTAGTTTTCTGCTTAATTACAAACAAACAAACCGCCCCCAGTAGCACAGCGGCATGTCTGCGGGCTTACAACGCTAGAAACTGGGTTTCGATACCCGTGGTGGACAGCGCACAGATAGCCCATTGTGTAGCTTTGTGTTTAACTTGAAACAACAATAATATAATTTTGTTTTTACACCAACTTACCTAATCCTATTCGATGACGAGGCTAGGGCGCTCGACTCCCAATCTGAGGGTCGCGGGTTCGAATCCCCATGCCACCAAACATGCTCGCCCTTTCAGGCGTGGGAGCGTTATAATGAAGCGAAAGAGAGATAAGAAAAACAGAGAAGAGAGAAAAGGTATCTCGAAAAGTAAAATATATATATAATGAGAAGGTAAATTATTTTCCATTGCAAACAGAGAAGATTAAAAGTAACATCTGCTAACTATCGAGTTGCAGAAACACGTCACCTACAAAAGATTTTAAATAAGCGTTCCAACGGATCGATAAGGGCGGAGGTGTTGAATCGTGTACTTTCATTTCGTGACGAGCACATTATTCACTAAATCCGGTACGGAACTGTCACAAACACATGAAATGAGTCCTGTTTTGATCTTTTTTGTTTGTTTGTTTGTTATTCATCGATCAATTTAAAACAAGGCAACGAATGTGCACTAGAAGATAGCAACAAATAGCATTGATTGGATGTTCAGAAAGCTACACTGTGGTTTAATATGTTTATCATGGTAGTATAACAAACAGAAGACACGACAGCTGTGCGTTGTAAGTTTATATTTAATACTCTTGGAAAATGACAGATTCCCCCAATAATTTAGTTCAATATTACTACAGACTCTAGAAAAATATAACACTTTGTTTCTAACGCTTCAAAAATTCAACCACGGACGTTTGATTACGTAAGCCAAAAACAAACGAACAACTTTTGTCAATACTAGTTTGTTCACTTCTCTGTCTTGAATCTCTATGTTCTTAAGACTAATTTTCCGAAGATATTTATCTCAAAGCGCAATAAAAAGTTGATTGTTTTGAGAAATAGAACTGTATTTGTTTTTTGTTATAAATAAGTGAGATGTACATAAAAACATGACGTGTTTCTGACGTCACGCGCAGCAGCAGAACAAGAAAGTAATCATTTAGTCTTTAGGGTTAGGAACTTGTGAAACCTGTATTTATTGTACTATTTAAACACCTGATTTCTCATCATTAGCGTGTAGAGAGTAAAAGTAAGATTAAGCTAGAAGTCTTCTCACTCTTTCAATTGTAAGTCAGACCCCAAAAATTAAGTAATTATATATTGCAATTGCTCATTTAATAAGCATAAAAAAAATGTTTGTAAATTAGTATCTAAATCGAGTGGTCTGAAATAATTATTGTTCCAGACCAACAGCGTAAGCCAATTACAAATAATCCCGGTATGGTTACTGCAAAAATTAGAGATACACACAAAAACAACAACACAAAATAAACGAAAAAGACAACAAAAATTCATTAGTGACACATACAAAATAAATTAAGAAGTTACTTAAGAAATTGATTAAACGTGATAAAAATATTATGTTTCGCTGAATAATTATCATATAAACACTGCATATGAGTAACAAGTAGACAGATTTATATTGCGTGTTACGATTAACTGTTTAATGGCACGTAAATTGAAAGAAAAAAGCAATAAAATTTAAAGACACTCAGTTAAATTGTTACATATTATGCCATTATTAAGACATTTATACAAAAAATATCATTAACTTTCACATTGTAAAGAAAAGTAATGAATAAAGTAGGTTAGAATAAGTTATCATGTAAAACAACAAAAACCATCACGAAAAATCACTTCTGTTCTGGTTTACAATATTTTATCTTGTAACTGTTTTTTTTTGTGACTTTAACGTTGTTTCATACTATTTAGTTGTTAATTTAGAAAATTTACTAAAAGGTACACAATGGGCCATCCGCGCATAGATGTTCCTAATTTTGAACTAATAGACGAGAAAGAAAGTAGCTAATCAGCAGCACCCACCGCCAACTCTTGGACTACTTTTGTATGATAGATAGATAGTGGAATTTGCTTCACTGTTATAGCGCAACCAAGGTCCCAGGTCGAGGCGGAACACGTTTATCGTCAATGTAACACGAACCATGAATCCTCGGATTCACAATACAAGTATGCTAACTACAAACCCACACTCGATCCAGTGATTTTAATATATACATTTATATATGTGTTACCAGCTAAATATATCAAGAAACATTATTTGACTTTATATGAAACAGGCCTACCTTGCCCACACCATGCTTTTTAAGTCAGTCATCACTGACAAATCCCACCTTGGTTTACTTCCTGGTTCTGCTCTTTAAGTCAGTCATCATTGATAAAGCCCGTCCTGGTTTACTTCCTGGTTCTGCTTAGTAAGCCGGTCATCTTTGACAAAGTCCGTCCTGTTTTACTTCCTAATTCTTATCTTTAAGTCAATCATCATGGTAAGGTCCGTCTTGGTTTACTTCTTCATTCTGTTCTTTAAGACCGTCATTGTTGGTAAGGTCCGTCCTGTTTTTTTTTTTTTCTGGTTCTGATCGTTAAGCCGATCATTACTGACAAAGTTAGTCCGTTTTTACTTTCTGGTTCTGCTCTTTAAGCCAGTCATCACTGACAAACTCCGTCCTTTTTTCACTTACTGGTTCCGCTTTTTAAGCCCATCATTTTTGGCAAGGTTCATCCTGGTTTACTTCCTGTTATATGTTCATTTGCCTTAATATATTCCGCGTTAGCCCCGATTTTCGGGTCACTTTTTCTACATTCCATTATTATAAAACTTCGTTTATACAACAATATATGCACAACAGGAATTAAATGATGAGAAGAAAATGTGTTATAACGGCACTTAGAAAGAACAACAATAAAATGGACCTACAAAATTATTAACTATTTGCAAATAGTAACTATGGAGACGAAGTAATAACATAAAAATCAAGTCCAGAACAACAACAAAATTTTATAAAATAAAAACTTTCGCCAAGCATTGGCTATTATATTATTTTCCTGTCAATGTTCCCATCTTCATTAAAAGGCATAAGATGACAAAAACAGATCTTGAAGAATTTCTCAATACTGTGTTACTG